ACACTTACCCAGAATAGGTGGACCTCTGGTCATGAAATTTTAAAACATTAAACAAAAATAAGGTAGAAAGTTGAGCAGTCTTAGACACTTCTGCTCTCTCCAATTGCTACGCCCAATCTGATTTCACGGGATTTAAATCGCCATGTAAAACCTGCTAAACAAGCTTAAAAGTATGGTTAACATTTTGGGCTTAAATTATTAGTTAAATAGTTATCAGATAAAACATATGGAAATCAAATACGGACATCAATTGTAACATTACATTCCCCCTTTAAAGAAAAATTACATTCATGTAATTTTTTCCAAACACAATTTATGTACAAGTTTTTTTTTACTTTTTAAACATAAGATAAAACAAGATAAAATTCTTCTTTCATCAACTTTATTTACATACAGTTACTGACGGATTATTACTGTCTGCTTAAATAATCCGCTCCTACATTGTCCTTCCCTCTAATCGCCCTGATGCGGAATCGGTACGGCTGAAGTGACAATGCCCGTCTCATTAGTCTGGAGTTCACCAACTTCGTCTTATTCAAATATACCAGCGGATGGTGATCTGTCTCTAAAATAAACTCTTTGCCATAGAGATACCTGTGAAACTTTTGCACTGACCAAATGATACTCAAGCTTTCCTTTTCTATCGTCGAGTAGTGTTCTAGTTTGCGGCTGTCATAGGCAACAGGGGGTTTGAATTCACCTTCTTCCTGTAAAAGTACTGCTCCAATACCCCTGTCGGATGCGTCAGGCTGTACAATGAAAATCTTGGAAAGATCTGGTAATTTCAAAATCGGAGATTGAAGAATAGATGCTTTTAAATTTTGAAATGCTAATTCCTGAGCTTCTGTCCACTGAAGTTTACTAGGAGAGAACTTTCTTGTGAGGTCTGTTAATGGAAGAGCTATATGGGCAAAATTCGGGATAAACTTTCTGTACAAATTTACCAGTCCTAGAAAAGATCGCAGTTGTTTTTTCGTCGTAGGATGGTTCGCCTTTGTATAGCCGACACTTTATCTGGTTGAGGATGTACTTTGTCATCGCCTATGATATGGCCCAAACACTCCAGTTTCCGATAAGCCAAAGAACATTTCATTGGTCTGGCGGTGAGATTCGCTGAACGGAGACGCTGTAAAACCTGAGAAAGCACAGAGATATGTTGATCAAAAGTATGAGTAAATATCAAGATATCATCTATGAAATTATCAACATTAGAAACGTTGTTGAGCACCTCGCGCATGAGACGACAAAAAGTAGCCGGAGCTGTGACCAGCCCGAACGGCATTTTGGTGAACTGGAAAAGACCTTGGGGAGTCTGAAAAGCTGTCATTGGACGGGCAGAATCAGACAATGGCACTTGCCAGTACCCCTTTGACAAATCTAACCGTGAGAAGTATTTATGGCCTGATAATTTCGCAAACATTGCGTCAACATCAGGCATAGACTCCGCATCAAACACAGTAATGCGATTCAGAGCTCTGAAATCGACGCAAAACCGATATGCGTTGTCCTTCTTTGCAACAAGGACTATTGGGGATGAATATGGGCTTTCCGAGTATTCTATAACCCCGATTTCTAACATTTTACGTACCTCATCTTTCACTGTTTCCATCAAAGCAAAAGGGATTTGTCTCGGACTTACTCTCACAGGTTTATCCGTTGTTGTTCTGATTTCATGTTCAAGCACATGCGTGTGACCTGGTACATCTGATAAAACATTACTATACCTGTGTAAGAGATCCATAAGAGTTTGTCTCTCCTCTCTGTTGAGATCTGGATTCACATCTACATCTTTGTAGGATTCTCGAGACTGTACGTGTACGAACTCTGCTTCTTCATCATACTCACCAACTGATTCATCAAACTGAATCTGTTCTGAATCTACAACTGACATAACGCATTGAATAACTGGTTCACAACGTTCTACATATCTTTTTAACATGTTTGCGTGATAGGTCTTTACTTTTCCCTTCACATCTAACTGATAGTCTACTTTACCTATCTTTTTCACAATTTGATAAGGGCCTTGCCATTGCATAAGGAGCTTATTACTATCAGAAGGCAACAAAACCAAAACTTTCTCACCTGGTTTCATATTTCGTACTCTAGCCTTCTTATCAAAGTACACTTTGTGTCTTTGTGACGCTCTCTTAAGATTCTCCTGTGCCAACTCCCAAGTTGACTCCAATCGCTCGCGGAGATCTAAAATGTACTGGTAGATAGACTTTACCTGTTGATCTGGAATTTCTTTCGTCCATAGTTCTTTCAGGATCGTCATGGGTCCTCTCACCGTTCGACCATATAACAACTCAAAGGGAGCAAAACCCAAACTTTCCTGGGGCACCTCACGATAGGCAAAAAGCACAGTTGGTAGATATTTATCCCAGTCTTTTGGTCTATCAATACACATACGTTTAAGCATTTGCTTAAGTGTGCCGTTAAACCGTTCAACTAACCCGTTGCACATAGGGTGATACGGAGTAGTTGTTAACTGTTTCAACGAAATGAGTCTACTCACCTCTTTCATGAGTCCGGAAGTAAATTGACTTCCCATGTCTGTTAATAGAGAGGTTTAGCAAGCTCACTTGTACGTGTACATGTACGTGTAAACTACAAGTTAGAATTACACGTACACGTTAACATTTTTTTCTTGTTTAGCAAAGTATAACCTGTACTTGTACTTGTATGTTTTTAAATGTAATAGTGGTTTACAATTACAAATTATCCAAAAAAGCAATGATTTTAATACGTATATCACCGTTTTACATAAATATATGCATGTACTTATGAGAAAAAGATTGTACAGATTTCTTGTATTTTTATTAGGCCAAAGCCTGTTTCGAAAATCTAGATATTGTGATTTTAACTCCCTATAAATTAATATTTTTCAATTACTGACGTACAGTTCTTTTATCAGTTATTTGCATTAAATATTCAGGTTTCAGAAAAACGCACACTTTTTGAAAAATAAACAGCAGTTAAAGAATTATAAGCTACAAGTTTGGACTTACGTGTACTTGGCAATCTACACGTAACCTGCGTAAAAAGATACGTGTGGAAATTCGTCATTAGCAAAAGTGATGACATAATGCACAGCTTTCTGGTGCTACACGTACACGTACGCGTACACGTTGGTTTGCTAAACCTCTCTATTATCTTGTGAAAACGGGATATTATCTTGTGAAAACGAGATATTATCTTGTGAAAACGACATATTATCTTGTGAAAACGACATATTATCTTGTGAAAACGACTTATTATCTTGTGAAAACCACATAATATAATAAGTCGTTTTCACAAGATAATATGTCGTTTTCACAAGATAATATGTCGTTTTCACAAGATAATATCTCGTTTTCACAAGATATTGTCTCGTTTTCACAAGATAATTATCTCGTTTTCACAAGACATTATCTCGTTTTCACAAGATAATTTCTCGTTTTCACAAGATATTATCTCGTTTTCACAAGATAATAAGTCGTTTTCACAATATATTATCTCGTTTTCACAAGATAATATCTCATTTTCACAGGTTAATTTCTCGTTTTCACAAGATAATATCTCGTTTTCACAAGATAATAAGTCGTTTTCACAAGATAATATCTCGTTTTCACAAGATAATTATGTCGTTTTCACAAGATAATTTTTTTCTGGTATTTAAGAAAAAAATAATTGCGTGTCCTAAATATACCACCGTAAATTCATTTGACCGTAATCATTGGTTTTTATTTTCCATCATCAAGTTCATACAGTTCACAGGAAGTCCGTGCTAGTAGCGTTCTTGTCCTGTCAATCAAACTAATTCGACACAGTGGAGGTGTGGAAATCGCGTTTCACCGAACATGCCGAAGGCAAAGAGTATTCCAAGAAGTTTAAATATTTTTCCCTATCATTTCTAGATCTGATTTTGGCATTCCTGCAGAAAAAAAAATAATTGGAATATGTACTTGGAAGAATTAAGTTTTGAATTGAATTGGTTTTAAGACTGATTTTCTTGTGTTACAATACAAATTGAATATTAATTAAAATATTCTGAAAAAAAAAACTCAATAAGAATTTCATTTCGGGAGAAAAGGCACCCGGGGGGGGGGGGGGGGGGAGGGGGGGTGTCTTAATTATACTGAATGGCAAATATATATTTAAACATATGTCTAGGTACAGTTAAGGAAGGAATTTTCCTTCTCTAATAATAGACTATTTTAAACATTTTGGTCTTTCCTAAAATTTAAAGCCACACCATCAATTTAATTAGCTCTAATGATATTTAGTTAACTGAATATTTGCAGTACTGTTCATAATTCTCAAAACTACATGTAGTTAAAATACGTGTTACTGTAGAAATATTTTTTTATGTATTCTTGTCCTGTAAAAGACTTGGATTAATTATTATACATCCATTAATAATTTGTCCTGTTTAAAATTACAACAAATTGATGCCGTGCGTGAAGCATTTGTACATTGCCCTTTTTTAAAATTAATATTCTAGCATCGTTCTACATACGTGTAGGTACTTCATGTATTATTTTCCAGGGAAATTTCATGAAATAAGTAACAGCTGAGTTATAATAATAGAAATAAAAATATCATAGATAATTTTTGCAATGAAATACTTATTCTTCAAACACGATATCTAAGTTCTTTAATTAAAAACATGTAAATTCTTACCATCAAAAAGATAAGTCCTTTCACTTCGGAGTTCCGAATGAAAATGAAGACTGAACGATAAGTGAACGGTGAACGCAAGGTGAACGCAAAGTAAACGGAACGAAGAGCGTACGGTGAACGTTTTGTGAACGGTGAACGCGAGCGCACGGTGAACGGTGAACGCAATACTGTGAACGAAGAGCGAACGGTGAACGCACGCTGAACGAACGGTGAACGAACGCTAAACGAACGGTGAACGAACGGTGAGCGAAAGGAAAAATGGGTAAGTAGAACGTTTCAGGGACTGTAACAGCAAAGAAAAACGTGAACCTATAGGTGTCAAGGACGAAACCGAAAATATGAGTAAAGAGCATGCAACAAAAGAATCCCGAAAAGAATTATCAAGGGAGAAAGTCACCTACCTAGGCGGTGACCCTGAAGAGAAAGCGAAAGCTGATAAAGCCCTAAAAGAAATATGTAGTGATGGGAATGTCTCATACGAAGTGTCTTCTACGTCGTCAAAGGACGTAGAAAGTAATGCAGATTCTGCAATATTTGAAGTCCCTGAAATTTTGACTGCCGAAGGATTTGTCATTAAGCTTTACGTACATGACTTGCTGGAAACTGACGTAGAAATAATTGGCAATGCTGCCAACCATAAACTATCACATAAAACAGGCTTATCGGCAACAATCGCCTGGAGAGCTGGTCCATGCATGAAAAAAGAATGTAAAGACTACATTAAAATATATGGAACTCTTCCAATTTCAAAAGCGTTTGTATCAGGAGCAGGACAGCTAAAGTTTAAAAAAATAATTCATGTCGTTGGACCGTCTTGGCCAGAATACACAAAGAAACTAGAATGCCTGAAAGATTTAGCAAGAACTGTAACGAACCTTTTAGAGAAGGCCAAAGAATGCAAAGCCAGATCTGTTGCCATGCCGACCATCAGTTCAGGTGAACATATTAATTTAAAATTCTTAAAATTTAATCTTAAAGTTTGTTGTTTATCTTATTGCCTTTTTGCAAAAGAAGTCCAATATGTTGACAGTAACTGGTTAGTATGTGAGTCCATGAGTCTAATTCAATGCACAGTGAACACTACTTAACGACTCTTCTGTATTTGCTAAAATACACAAGTTGGCATGGAAAACCCCTATTTATCAAAATGCTTTCTCAGAATATCAAAGTTAGTCATTGCTAAAATGCACTTTTAAGCACCTTTGCTTTTTATAACGTATATTTGCAAGTAATTGGCTTACCTTCGAGGAGAATAAATAAATAATATCAAACCATGTTGTGGAGAAAACCCAACTCTAAAGTAATGATGAAATTTCATAATTAATGAAACACAAGGAAAGGTTTTGTTACACGAAAAACATATCTGAAATTTGAAAGCCCTAGCAATAACCATACAAATGTTTTGGCCATAGTTATGAAAGATCCATTTACTCAATATAAGCAGACAACCTTTGATTACAAGGACATAAAATGGAATTAGCAAGTAATAAGTATATATGTATAAGACTTTCCATTACTAATGGGTTTTTTATCTGACTTTTAAATATTCCTTTAAACAGGCATCTACAGAGTACCAAATTCTCTTTGTGCTGCCATGTATCTGAAAGGCGTCTTTGACTTTAGCAAACAGAAGAAGTTTGGATCACTCAAAGAGCTTCACATTGTTGATCTATCTATGGACGTCCTTCAATCGGTTAAGGAAAAGTATCAGCATTACTTATCTTTTAAACAGGCCATTGATCCAGCGTGGTTGGTTGTAAGATACCACAGTGTAGAAGAAACAAACACAAGGTAAAGTACAACAACATCAACACGAGCCTCCAAGTTTTCAGAGAAAAACTAAGACGATTTTAGAGGAGCACAGGCCCCCGTAACAACACCAAAGGACAGAAAAAAAATTGGAGTGTCCTCTGATCAAGATTAGCATTAAAATATGCAATTTATAAACGCTAGATAAATTTGCTGTCGCACCACCAAATGAAAGTAATATTTTACTTTTAAACACTTGTTTATAATGTATTTGAAATATTAATATGTTACTTAAGCAAAACATAAAGCATTTAAGGTATACAATCCCCAATAGCAACAGATTCAATGAAATTGAATACATAACAGACATGTAGGTTTGCAGAAGGATAAAACGTACGCTGAACTAGGACCTCAGGTCCCCCGCAAATAGTTCGTCATTTTGCGTAGTAATAAAACATTTTAGGAACTCTTCAGGCATAAAAGGCACAAAAGTAAATTCATCGTTATCAATACGGAGACCTTAGGTCACCATATATATATATTAATTGAATTTTACATGACAGACAGTTTTCTTTGTCTTACTCCAAAATAATCACATTTATAACTTTAAAGAGATCTACTTTCTAATATATATATTAGTAGAAACGTGAAAGTAATTAGGGGGACTAGAGGTATCCTTATATTATACATCAGTAGGGAGACCAGTGGTCACCTTACCCTAGGCTATTATTACATTGTACATCATTAGAGGGATCATAGGTCACCTTACATTTTAAATTAAAAGGGGGCCAAAGATAACCTTTTATTGAACATCATAAGGGGGACCTGAGGATATACATTATATAGTACATCATTTTGGGGACCAAAGGTCACCTTATCATGAACATCAGTACGGGGACCAGTGCTCACCTAATATTTTACTGTAGATTGATCAGTAGAGGAAACAAAGATCACCTTAGATTCTACATCAGTAGGGGGACCAGAGGACACCTTATATTTTACATAAGTAGGGGGACTAGAGGACATCTTATATTGTACATCAGTAGGGGGACCAGAGGACACCTTATATAGAACATCAATAAGGAGGCC